CACATGTTTGTTCAAGTGTAATCTTTTTTTTTTAATTTTTTTTTAAAATTTATTTCGTTTTGAGAGAGAGAGCACAAGCCGGGGAGGGGCAAAGAGAGAAGGAGACACAGAATCCAAAACAGGCTCCAGGCTCTGAGCTGTCAGCACAGAGCCTGACGCAGGGCTTGAACTCACGAACCACGAGATCGTGACCCAAGCTGAAGTCAGACGCTTAACCGAATGAGCCACCCAGGTATCCCACCAAGTGCAAACTTTTAAGTGCCAAGTCTTTACCAAAAGATTTCTGTAGAACAGGCTCCACAAAGGGTGGGTCTCTGCTTACTAGCCAATAAGAGGGATGTGGCAGCCCTCTGTTCCTTGAACATGAGCACTCTGCATGTGTCTTGTTTTAGACAGTTCTGTCTTGTTCATCATGGCCTAACTTTGCAAGCGGTAGACATGCAACAGACATGGAGTAAATGGATGGATGCATGGATGCATGGATGGATGGAAGATGGAGAGAAGGAGGGAGGGAAAGAGGAAGGGAAACTACCTCCTTGTAACTTTTAACTCTGTTCTCCAAAACATTCAAGGCAAATGAGTATGACTTCTTCCCTTAATGGGATGTGTTTGGGACGTCCCAGGCTTCCAACCACCAGTAAGTACAAACCTATTACATTTATAGTAATGCCAAACCTGATGATTTAAGCACAACTTCACTAAGTCCAGCTTTTTAGAAAAGCATTCTCCACCAGGAATTTCTACGAGCCATCGGGGCGCCCACCATTACAAGCAGAGTGTACTCAAGCCCTCACCAGCTTGTGAGTCCCGTGAAAGATCATTTCCTACTGCAAAGTCATGGTGAAATGGGGGTTCAGAGAATCAGAGCCACAAACTTCAGGCTTCATCACGCTGCTGCTCCGATGCTCAGAGCCGACGACTCAACCACCAAAACTCCAAACTTTGTCAGACTGCTGATCTCCTTCTGCCCAAGACCAGCTCCCTCCAAGATTCCCATGGAGCCATGCTGGGCCCCGACTGACAGTTTCTTCCTTTCATTCCCAGAAGACAGAGCTTTCAACAGGGTGGGAGAGGTAGACCAGAGTGTACTATGAAGGGGGAGCAATGGGGAGACATACCTCACATTTTCAACTGCTGCCTGAGTTCCCTCTAACCTCCAGTCCTCATCATCCAGTCTGAGCCACTTGGACACACATCTCTCCCACTCAGGTGTTACTTTCTCAGGAACCTATTTGTCTCTCCTCTAGCAAGGATTGCTTTCAGGTCTCCTAAGCTATCAGACAGTCCTGAACATGTCTGAACCATATATGAGAACAGGGTTCATGTGGCTTCTTTCCCACAAGGCTCCTAACCACATGCAAAACAAGAGGTACTAATGGATGTCTGTTTTCAGTATTCTTGAACATTCTGTAAAGGGCAATAATTCCACACACATTGTAAGACACTTAGGGGGTGGCTCGCATAAGCTCACAGAGGATCTGAGTCCACATGGAATACCACAATTTCTGACCCAGTCAAAAAATACCCTGTTGCAAATGCCTGACTGGGCACTGTGTTATTTAGGGAGAGCTAAACTGCTAAGTCAAGACTCGCCAATAATTCTGCGACTTAAAGAAATACCCAATTTGTCTCTATGGATCAGTTCCACAATCTACTTTTCAAGTAGGCATGCAGCTCAGCTTCAGAGGGCCATTCAGGAATCCAGGCTGATGGTGGCTCTGCTATCCTCAGTGGACAGCTTCTGAGATCATTCTAGTCCTCAAGCATTCATCAGCAGCGGGGAGAGGTGTGATGGACTGGGTAGGCAGTGTTTCACAAGTCAGCCCCTTATAATCCAATGGTGAGAACCTGGTCCCATGGCCACACCTAGCTGCAAAGGTGACTGGGAACCTAGTCCCGGGCAGGGCAGCCATACACCAGCTACAATGTTTACTCCTAGAACAAGGGACAGCAAATTACAACCCAACGGTCAAATCCTCGAGTCCCCTGGTTTTATAAACAGAGTTTTATTGGGGCACAGCCATCCATATCCATTCATTTACATTCTGTCTATGGCTGCTTTCCAGTTACAAAGGCAGACTTGAGCAGTTATGGCAAAGACCTTATGGATGCAAAGTCTGAAGTATTTACTGTTTGGCCCTTTATAGAAAACATTTGCTATTCCCTTCTTTAAGGAAAAAAAAATGGAGCATGCATTTGATGGGACAACCAGCAGTCTACACTTTCAAAAATTTATCTGGAAAACTGTTAGAAAGAGACAAAAAATTTTCCTTCAAGCCATTTTGTCATACCAAAGGACTAGAAACCACTCTAAAACGACTGTGAAATTATGGGCCGTGCATACCACACAATACAATGCAACCTTTAAAAAGAATGAGGAAGTTCAATATATACTGATTAGAAAATATCCAAGTGTATTAACTTTAAAATGTAAAATGCAGAACAATGTTTAGAATGGTACCATTTGTGGAGAAGAAAAAACCCAGAACTTAATATATAATATCTACACACATACATGAGTATAAAAATTCCTGAAAGAACACAAAAGAAACTAAAAATGGGCTGTTTCTGGATAGAGAAATCAGAAATTGAAGGACAGAGGGCTTTTTACTATATACTTTTATATATCTGGAATTTGTACAATGTGCCTGTATCACCTATTTTTTAAATAATAAAAATTAAACTGAGAAAACCACATACACAAAAAAAGTTTACTTCCATTGCTAACCAACTCCTCTTCTGAAAGACATAATCTTCCTTAACACTCTATCTCAAATCAGATATAGTCAGTTCTACTGATCTAAGAGCCATTTTATCTGGTGCTTCCCTGCTCTGTCCTATGTCCGATTCTCAAATACTTCATTCCTCTTATTTTCATAGTCAATTTACAAATTCTATTTTAGTCCTCTGCTTTTCTTAAAAGTTCCTCTTTCCAAACAGACAGCAGTTATCAGTATTTTAGTTCTCTCTCACATGTTGAGTGTAAAGAAAAGCTACTCTGATCTCAGAGAAACATTAAACATAGAAAGACAAAAATACAGTTCCTGACAAATAATTTTCAAGAAACATCTTGCAAGGAAACCCACCTTTCAGTTAAAACTGACAGCAATACAAGTCACACAAGCTGAAGAGAAAAAGGAATCCACTAGTTCATGTAACTGGGAAGGTCAAAAGTTGTGTCTGACCTGAAGCACAGAAAAACTTCAGGGCCCTCAGGGCTCTTGCTCTGCTCTAGGCTCTGCTGGGCTGCCTTCTGCAGGCAGGCCCTTCTGAGGCAGTCAGGGTACCCCACATTCCCAGGCCCCTAGTTTAGCAGTCCTCATGGAGAGAGATGATTTTCTCTCTGAACATCAATACAGTAAATCCAGAGAACACTGTGATAGGTCATTTGTAGATTTGTCCAGGGGTGGGCTCCAAGCCTGGCCCAGCTTAGGCTATACACCTGAAAGTACAGGCCACCGGGACTATATAGAATGTGCAAAGAAGAGATTCCCAAAGGGAGCTGTAGAAGTGAGGAGTGGTAAGTAGAAAAGACAACAAATGTCCTCTATTATGACCACTGGACATCTTAGCAGGCTTAACATTCTAATCCTTGCTCCCTACACTGGCTGGAGGGGGTTTTCAATTTCAAGGCAAAGGTGGCTGGGAAGTTTACACTCACATACACGTTGTCTGATTTGTCTGTACTAGACACAATTATGAATACCAGATTGGAAACCTGCTCATAAATTGGCAAAAAAAAAAAAAAATGCAATTTGTAAATCAGATTAAAATCTTTTGGTCTCTCTGAAACTTTTTGCTTGAGACAAAGTAGTTCCGTAATAGAGCCTGCCAAAATTTACCTTCTTTGTTTCAGCCATATGCTTTTTAAATGACCATAGAAAAGTCAACGAAGATATGCAAGTGTGAGGTCTATACTTGGTTCTAAACTATAAAATAACTCAAGAGGTTGTGTTTGCATTCTTCTTACCAAAGCTGCTTTCATTTTCTCCCAGAATCCTCCTGGTCAGCTGAACCAAACGGATACATGACATTCCCTCTGACTGATTCGTGACAACTGAGCTGTCCCTCCATAGCACAAGGCAGAAGATCTACATTAAATGAAAGTTTCTCAATAAGCAGAAAATCCATCTGAGCCTGGACATCCTTGCTTTAAGAAACTGCTCATTGTTACAGTAGAATCATGAAGACATGCATGCTAGTTAGTGTTATATGCCAGCTTAATGCCAAACATCTTTTATTTGGAATTATATGATAAAAGCCAAATTTCCAAAAACATCTTCAAGAAGGGAGACTGATATGTGTGTTTTAAAGTGATGGTCCCCCTCTACAAGTGAGATATTCTTGGTTCTCAGATCATCAAGAGTAACACAAAATCTTCAAAACAAAATTACGTTTAAATCAATTTTATTTAAAAACATATATAAATAGGCCAAGTAACACTCAAGCCTGAGAGGGCTGCAATCTTTTCTGAAGAACATCATAGTCCAAAAAGACTAACACTTATTGCTGATTCAGCTCACAGTATCAGCCCTCATCAAGCAGTAGCACAATCACCAGCAAACATATTATGGGCACCTCTTAGGGGCATTAGAGATTCACAGAGCAATGACACACAGCCCTGCCCTCAAGGAGCTGACAGTGTAAAGGGAGAGAAACAAAACATCCAAAACAGACATGAAATACACGCATCTATATCATAATAGAAGGAATGACCGGCATGAGTCATCACATTTTAACAAATGAGCATTGGAATTTCTTAGCAAATATACACTACATCAAGTTTCAATCTGACATATCAAAAAAGTTATTATTGTTTTAAAATTTTTTAATGTTTATCTTTGAGGGAGAGAGAGAGTGAGAGGGAGGGAGTGAAAGCACGAGCAGAGAAGGGAGGCCGAGAGATAGGGAAACACAGAATCTGAAACAGGCTCCAGGCTCTGATCTGTCAGCACAGAGTCCAAAGCGGGGCTCAAACTCACGAACCATGAGATCATGACCTGAGCCAAAGTTGGAAGTTTAACCAACTGAGCCACCCAGGCACCCCTCAAAAAAATTATTTTTATTAATTTTTTTCGATTACTCATGTTTCAACTCAACTGAATTAAAAGAAGAAAATATAATTCCAAGCCAAATGTACCATAGTGTTTGCTGTCCCAAATGAAGAGATAGACTGTTCACATCCTAGAATTTCTCCATGGTTCTACATCCAGATGTAGTTCAGTAGTTCTGACTGCCAAACCGATGTACAAATTCCGACAGGGAGTAGACAGCTCCCCATCCCACCTCAGGATCCATACTGATAAAATCATTCAGGTTCATTTTGGAATCTAAAAAATACACGAAAGAAAACGTTCACTGAAAACACAATTGGTTTACTGGTTTAACAGCAGTACAACAACCCAGAAGACCAAAAGCAGGGAAAATTTTCCAAAAGGAGAAGGGTTCAACATCACTGCTGTGGTATTCTCATCCCAAATGCGTAACCTCAATCTAATCATGACAAAATATCACACAAACCTAAGGTGAAGGTCACTCTGCAAAATAACTGACTCTTCGAAAGTGTAAAAGTTATAAAAGAAAAGAAAAAACAAAAAACAAAGAAATTGCCACGGACCGAAGGAGACTGAGGAGACATGACAATTCAATCTAATATCCTGGGTTAGATTCTGGACCGGAAAAAAGAAATTAGTGGAAAAACTTGCAAAACTTAAGTAATGTCTGTAAGTTAACATATTGGATCAATATTTTAGTATCAAATCTGTCATTTTCCTGGTTTCAGTAACTACAGTAGAGTTATGTAAAATCCAACAGTAGGGAAATCTGTGTAAAAGCATATAGGAATGCTCTAGAGTGTTTCAGCATATATTTTAGAAGTTTAAAATTATTTCAAAATAAAAAGTTAAATGAAAAATGCATGAATAATCAAACTACCGATTTATTGGATCCAACTGCCAAATTATAGGAAATTCAGAGGCTAAAAAAAGAGATACAATCAGCAAAACCCAGACTGTTTCTCCCAGACCCAGTTTCTTCAACAAAAAAATAGTTAGGCAAAGAATCTACATATTAAAAAAGACTCTTAAGAGACATACAACCAGGGAAGCCTGGCTGGTGCAGTAGGTGCAGCATGCACCTCTTGATCTCAGGGTCGTGGGTTCAAGCCCCACATTAGATGTAAAGATTACTTAAACATAAAACCTTTTAGGGGGGCCAGGGTGGCTCAGTCAGCTAAGCCACTGACACCTGATTTCAGCTCAGGTCATGATCTCACAGTTCATGAATTCGAGCCCCACAGCACGGTGACAGTATGGAGCCTGCTTGTAACTCTCTCCTCCCTCTCTCTGCCCCTCCCCTGCTCACTCTCTCTCTCAAAATAAATAAACTTTAGAATGAATAACTAACTAAATACATACAATCTTTAAAAAAAGATGATGACTTTATGACTTTATAACTGGAAATCTGAACACTGGCTAGATAGATACATGATGATGTTAAAGAATTACCATTAATTTGGGGGAGTGTAATAATGGTATGGTGGTCATAGTTTTTAAAAAATAAAATCCTTATATATTTTAATATTTTAAAAATGTTTTTATTTATTTTTGAGACACAGAGAGACACAGAGCACAAGCAGGGGAGGGACATAGAGAGAGGGAGACACAGAATCTGAAGCAGGCTCCACTCTCTGAGCTGTCAGCACAGAGTCCGACGTGGGGCTTGAACTCACGAATCATGAGATCATGACCCGAGCTGAAGTCAGATGCTTAACCGACTGAGCCACCCAGGTGCCCCAATCCTTATATTTTAGAGATCCACACTGAAATATTTAGAGTTGAAACAACAGAGTATCTGGGACTGGCTTCACAATAATCCAAGAAAGGGGAAAGTGGATGGAATAAAAGTGAGTCGATTGGTTATGAGCTGATAACTGTTTAAAATCTGATATACTATTCTGTCTACTTTTTATATGATTTAAATTCTCCCCCCCAAATTTTTTAAAAATTATTTTTTAAATTTTTATTTACTTTTGAGAAAGAGAGACAGAGTGCAAGTGGGAGAGGGGCAAAGAGAGACACACACAGAATCTGAAACAGGCTCCAGGCTCTGAGCAGTCAGCACAGAGCCCAACAAAAGGCTAGAACCCATGAACCATGAGATAATGACCTGAGCCGAAGTCAGACGCTCAACCGACTGAGTCATCCAGGCATCCCTAAAAAAATTTTTTTAATGTGTACATATTGCTGTTTCTGCCCACCAAAAAATTGTTACAGAAACTGCACTTCCACCATAAACCTCCAGAGAACTGTGCCAATATATTTAGCAACTATTTCCAGACGTTGGACAATGGGCAGACATGCCTGGGATTCCTAAGAAAGTGGACAAGTAAGGGGGGGCCCTAGGATCACTCACGCTTACTACCCTCAGAGGCAATTTCCAGAGGGGGACACACGCTGCTTTGTGGTCTCCCTGAGGTGAGAAGACAGACATCCAAGTTCAGGAGGGCCCAGGCAGAGTGCAGGAGACACGGGTGTAGAAAGGATCCCCCCCACCCTGACCCCAACACACACCCAAGTATTTGGCGGGGACTGCTCTCGTGAGACCAGTCCCCAGGTGGAGTCATTCTCATAAGTGCCAGAACTCCACAGTTGCCACCAGCCAGGGCAGAGAGAGCAGACATGGAACAAGGATCTGGTTAGACTCCTCAGAAGGGCCGTGCCAGGGCACGGGGCTAAATTAGCACTAGACCGAAAGGCTGCTCTGAGCCTTTACTAAAAAGTTAAAAACAAGCCTTGAAAGGACCCAGTTGACTCCCAGTGATGTAACTGCAGGCCAGCACTGTTTTCTAAAAGTACCTCAAGATCCAGCAACTGACAACATAAATTCAAAGTCCAGCATCCAACCAAATATGACAGATCACACAAAGAAAAGGAAACCATGATCCAAAATCAGGGGAAAAAATCAATCCAACAGAAGTGGACTAAAAAGACAGAAATAATGGAACTAGCAGGCAAGGAGCAGCTATTGTAAACATGCCCCGTGTGTTCAAACAGCTAGAGAAAAACAGGAACATGATGAAGAGAGAGAGAAATGAAAGCTATTAAACCAGTCCAAAATGGAATTTCTAGACATAAAACAAATAGAATATGTAAGATGAAAAGAATGTGCTGGATGAAGCTAACAACAAACTAGTTAACGCAGAAGACAAGAGCGGGGCGCCTGGGTGGCTCAGTTGGTTAAGAGTCCAACTTCTCAGTTTCAGCTCAGGTCGTGATCTTCGTGGTTTCATGAGTTCGAGCCCAGTGTCGGGCTCTGTGCTGATGGTGCAGAGTCTGCTTGGGATTCTCTCTCCCTGTATCTCTCAGCCCACCCACCCCTGCCCCCACCATGTTGTCTGGCTCTCTCAAAATAAATAAAATTAAAAATTAAAAAAAAAAAAGACAAACTCAATGAATTTACAATAAAATAAAGGAATTATTCAAAATGAAACACATACATAAAAGGTATGAAAAAAACAACAAGCCCTACTGACCTCTGAGAATATCAAGCCATCTAACCAGTGTGTAGCTGAAGGACAAGAACTTAAAAATGAGAGTCAGTCAGAAAAAATGTGTGAGGGAATAATGGCCAAATAATGTTCTCAAGTTTGATGAAAACTGTAAATCCAACAATCTAAAGATCTTTAAAAAACCGTAAGTGGAATAAGCCTAAAGGAAACTATGCTGTAGTCCGTCATGATCGAATTGCTAAAAACTAGTGATAAAGAGAAAAACCTTACAAAATATTCAGAGGGGGGAAAAAAGACACACTACATTCACAGAAACAAATACAAGATCAGAGCCTGTCCAAGCAGAAAACAAGAGAGATGCCTTTAAAGAACTGAAAGAAAGAAACTATGTAAATCTAGTATACGTTACCCAATATTATAGCTTTCAAAAATGAAAGTAAGCACTTAGGATATAGAAAACCAGAAACAGATTCGCTAACACCCTTATAACAAAAAAACCTGAATAATCAACTTTTGTTGAAGTCATCAGAGAGCTGGGAATTCTACTGGAAATAAAGGTAAGACAGGCACCTGTCAGGAAAGATGGGGTGGAAGTTCCTACTGACCTGGGTATGTGCCAGACTCCACAGAAGCCAGTGAGTCTGCGAAATTTTTTTTTTTTTAATGTTTATTTTGAGAAAGAGAGAAAGAGACTGTGAGCTGGGCAGGGGCAGAAAGCAGGAGACAGAATCCAAAGCAGGCTCCAGGCTCTGAGCTATCAGCACAGAGCCCAACGCGGGGCTCAAACTCATGGACTGTGAGATGGCAACCTGAGCTGAAGTCGGAAGCTCAACTGACTGAGCCACCCAGGCGCCCCAGTCTGTGAAACTTTTTAACAAACTACTTTTAAAAGAAACCTATTCTTGTTTTCTAAGACTTTTTCCCCTCCCTCCCTTTTTTTGTTTTGTCTTCTAAGACTTTTTAATGTAATTAAATAAAGATTACTATCTTCAGTCATTCATTATGTAAAAAGATCAATGTATAAAAACAAAATTAAAATTAAAAACTTTTTAAAGATCAAGGCAAAACAAATAAACATCTGCCTCTAATCGACCTATGAGGCACTTTAAGATTTCCATTTGTTTACCTAACACGGGTCCTCCAGCGTGGCTCAAATTAGCCAGTGTTACTCTACATTTGGAAGCAGGGGGATAAGAAGTATATTCGGAGCAGAGGCAGGGAAGGACTTAGAAGGAGACAGGGAAATTTGGTGTACTCTATAGTTCAGCCTAAGAAAATGTCTTTAAAAACTGAGACATCAGTAGCTAATGCTGAAACTGACTCTTCAGGGCAAAGCTGTATGACTATAAATTTCAGTTTCCTTCTCATCAGAAAAAAAAAAAAAAAAAAAGAGTTCTTTTCTTTAAAATACATTAAACGCTGAATTGAAAATAGCAGTCTTGGGGCGCCTGGGTGGCTCAGTTAACCATCCAACACTTGACTTCGGCTCAGGTCATCTCACAGTTCCTCAGTTCGAGCCCTGAGTTAAGCTCTGCACTGACCGTGCAAAGCCTACTTGGGATTCTCTCTCTCCTTTCTCTGCCCCTCCCCTGCTTTCTCTGTCTCAAAATAAACTTAAAAAGAAAAAAAAATATATGGGGTGTCTAGGTGGTTCAGTCGGTTAGGTGTCCAACTTTGGCTCAGGTTATGATATCATGGCTCATGAGTTTGAGCCCCATATCGGGCTCTGCACTGATAGCTCAGAGCCTGGAGCCTGCTTCGGATTCTACACGTGTCTCCCTCTCTCTCTCTGCCCCTCCCCTGCTCACACTCTCTGTCTCTCAAAAATAAACATTAAAACAATATTTTTTTTAAAGAAAAGAAAATTGCGATCTTGCAGACACATGCCCACCGAAATTATTAAACATACTATCCCGATGTTCAACATATCAAATGTACTAAATCTTAAGTCACAAGAGTCAATTCCACAACTAAATGCAGGGGACTGAGTTAAGCTGATCTTAAAGTACCTAAAACATGCATTAAAGTTTGATATTTTCTTTTTAAAAAAATTTTTTAATGTTTATTTATTTCTAAGGGAGAGTACACACACGCATAGAGGAGGGGCAGAAAGGGAGGGAGACACAGAATCCAAAGCAGGCTCCAGGCTCCGAACTGTCAGCACAGAGCTCAATATGGGGCCCGAACTCACGAACTGAGAGATCATGACCTGAGCCAAAGTCAGATGCTTAACTGACTGAGCCACCCAGGCACCCCAAAGTTGGATATTTTCTCAAACCGTTTCTTATCCTTACTTTTTATAAAATACTACCAATCAGCTACAAGTAATTCTCATTTATCCTAACTTCAAATATATTCCTTTGATAAACACAGGATCTGAAGAAATGAATTCACCACCTGACAGAACATCACAGTGTGGTTAAATTATGACATGAAAAACCAGTCCATTTACCCCACACTTCAGAGCAGATTCCTTTCAGCTTCCATCTCAAGTTCAGGATGAACTCACTACACACAAGGCAGAAAAAGACACCCCCAGCCCCCTCCTCATCCTCCCCTGCTGTACACCCGAGGCAAAGGGCTTACTTAATCTTAATGCACTTCAGGGTACGCATCTATCAGGTAAGGAAAATAAAGCTGGCCCGAGTTGTGGTAAAAACTGCACTACTATACAGAGCGGCCGGCACAAGGCCTGGTATGAAATAGCATCCCCTGGGCAGCAGTCATCAAAACCGAAAGGAATGATCAAAAGAGGAGCGGGCTGACAGGCTGGTGTTTACTGTGTACCTGCCACGGGCTGGCTCTGTGCCAGTGTCATGTCTAGAAGACAAGCGGGGGGTGGCTGAAGTCACACCGTCCTGGATCACAGCCTATGTGGCAGGTGGTCCAAGACCAGAAGGGAGACCTGTGGTGTCCTCTCCCCACCCAGGAGCGACCGCATTTCTGACGCTGAGACCAGGAAGCAGGCTAGTGGACCAAAAAGCAGCTCTGAGATAAATTTTTAAAATCACGACAGCCTCTCACAGAGCATCTCAAACATCAGTTTGAATCCTCTTTCGATGTTTAGATACACCAAATAGATTTCCATTCTTCCCTGCTGAACTCCAAATGCTACTGCCCTATTTTTCTGGCATGCAGCACAGCTGATGGAGCATTTCACACAGAAGGGCTCATCCGCAGGATGGGATGGCCTCCGCAAGAAATGGCAACCATGCGAATTATAATCATAAATAATATTTCAAGCTCGTGCAAATGCCAAACAACAGCGACAGGGTGAAGAGCTCTTTATCTCCTTAAATCTCAGAAAATTATTAACTGGACTGATGCCTAAAAGCACATAAAGGAGATTAGTGGTACAAGAAAACCCACTGGCTCTCCTTTCCTTCGACCGCAGGTCTCATCAGGGAGCCAGGGAAATGACATCTCATATACCACAAGAATGCCCCAGCGGCTGCTGTCACCCTAATGGGACACCCTGCCATGCCAAGATGCTACTAGCCCAACTGTGGAAGGACACAAGCCCACACACCTCCAGAAGCCCAGCGTCCCGGCAGCAGACACAGCCAGCACCCTGGCGGTGTGCAGGTATCACGGTGCTCCTGAACACCTCCCCTGCTGTGAGTTCTCATGCCTTCCAGTCCCGTTCTCGGGGCTTCGAGTCCTGAATCTAAAAGATACACACATCTAGGCTCCCTCTCTAGGCTCCCTCTCATCTTCTTACGACTCAGGGAGTTTCCCACAAGTAACAACACACAAGTTTTGTCCTTGGTCAGGGGGCGATGCGAATGTGCACGGTGACTGCAAGCCTCTCTGGGAAGGCACCTCTGGCTCACCTCCAGTTTCAATGCACGGGTATGATGGGGGGGGTTCTCTCCAGTTCCCGCTGGAATCTTTCATGTGAGATCGGTCAGAAGCAAAGTTCTTCAAATATGAATCTGCACGGATCACTCGAAATTTCCTGCAAATAAAGCAACGTTCATGTACGTTAGGACAGTTTCCCAGTGAAATTCTAACTCAATTTTTATACAGACCCATATAGACATACACGAAAGTACCCAGACATTTCTGTACTACCAGTAATACACAAATACAGATGCAGCTTCATCACCTGTTAAAGAAAGGATCCGCTGAAATAAAAAACTACACAGCCACAGAAATACATCCAGTTGCCTTTATTTACCCATTTGTAAGCCAGGGACAAAGGGCATAACCTTCAGGCGCCACGATCACAGACCTCTCAATTCTGTCATCATTAAGGCCGCACCCCACACACACACACATACCCACAAACACACCTGCACACATACAGGAGAGAAATCCCCAAAATGGCTTTCAGAAGACATCTGGGATCTCATCATGCACACTTTTAAAAGAATGCCAATCTTTTATATGTTGGACACTTGGACAACCTTTAAAACTTCAAAACATTTTGTTCTAATGTTGTGTGTGGCACATCATTTTCAAATATCAACTCAACAGTGATGCCAAAACAAGTCATCTTTGCAAAAAAAATGCAAAAAAAACCCCCACAAAACCACAGACACACACACAGACACACAGACACACACAGACACACAGACACACACACAAAAACACACACACACACACACACAAACTCTCTGTACAACTGTCAAGGTTTAACTTCAGAAAGTTAGTAAATCATCCTAAATCTCCTCACCTTCTAAACTGTGGATGGATGTCCTCATCAGACTTAAATGCATCTTCCACATAAGTGTCAAAAGGACAGGGAAATGGCAAGACTGTGTCCAGATCATAAATGAAGCTCTGTCCTCCACTTGAAACATGAAGCAGGACAACATGGTAATCCTAGAAATAAAAGTTGCTAAAATTAACCAAGTTACTTCACCATCCCGAACACAGTGTTATAGGTTACAGTAATAATGCGCACATACACATATGGATACAAAACTAATACAACTCTTCTTTTTTTTTTTTTTTAAATGTTTTATTTATTTATTTCTAGTAGAGAGAGAGACAGCTTGAGCAGGGGAGGGTCAGAGAGAGAGGGAGTGACAGACTCTGAAACAGGCTCCAGGCTCTGAGCTGGCAGTCAGCACAGAGCCCGACGCGGGGCTCGAACCCACGAACCGCGAGATCATGACCTGAGCGAAAGTCGGACGCTTAACCGACTAAGCCACCCGGGCGCCCCACAACTCTTCTTATAAGAGCAAAATAAAGCAAACACATATCCCTAAAAAAAAGATTAAACATCTGGTGACAGGGAACACTTAAACAAGCACTGAAAATGTTCATATACATTAAATGTACATCCTTTGACCTAGCAATTTCACCTCTAGGAATCCATCCTATGGAAAAAAAATGGCCATATGTGTGTAAAGGTATATACACAAAGAAAATCTATGCAGCACTGTTTATAACAGTGAAAATTCAGAAACAATCTGAAGTCCACCAAGAGAGAAATAAACCACAATGCAGGCGCTAAAAAGAATTAGGTAAATTTATGTAGAAAATGGAAAAAAGTATATGTTACATGGTTGGATGGGAAAAATAAACCACAAATATGCACTACATATTACTTTTAAAAAGCTATGTGTTTACAAAAATAAATTCAAAATGGATGACAAACCTAAATATAAGACAGGAAACCATCAAAATCCTAGAGGAGAAAACAGGCAACAACCTCTTTGACCTCGGCTGCAGCAAGGTTCTTCTTATTAGACACATCTCCGCAGGCAAGGGAGACAAAAGAAAAATGAACTATTGGGACCTCATCAAGATAAAAAGCTTCTGCACAGTGAAGGAAATAATTAACAAAACCAAAAGGCAACCAATGGAATGGGAGAAGATATTTGTAAATGACATACTGGATGAAGGGTTAGTATCCAAAATCTACAGAGAACTTATCAACCTCAATACCCAAAAACAAAGATTCCAGTGAAGAAATGGGCAAATGATATGAATAGACACCTTTCCACAAAAGACATCCACATGGCTAACAGGAATGGATAAAGAAGATGTGGTGTATATATATATATACATATATATACATATATACATATATACATACATACACACAATGGAATATTACTTGCCGATCAAAAAGAATGAAATCTTGCCATTTGCAACAATGTGGACAGAACTAGAGGGTATTATGCTAAGGAAAATAAGTCAGAAAGATAAATATATGATCTCACTCATAATTTAAAAAACAAAACAGATGAACATAGGGGAAGGGTAGGAAAAATAATATAAAAACAGAAAGGGAGGCAAACCATAAGAGATTCTTAAATACAAGAACAAACAGCGTTTCTGAAGGGGAGGTTGGTGAGGGGGATGGGCATTAAGAGAGCACTTGTTGGGATGAGCACTGGGTGTTACATGGAAGTGATGAATCACTAAATTCTACTCCCGAAATCATTATTATACTATATGTTCACTAACTTGAATTTTAACAAAATTATAAAAAAAGCTATGTGTATATAGATACACATGTGGATTCTGAAGTACACATGCATGCGTATGAATTGAGGAAAAAGTGTGCAAGGATATCCTCCAAAATATTAACACAGGGGATGGCTTGAGCTAGCCTAGAGTGGGAAAGGACTTTAAGATGTTGTTAAGCTGGCCAAGCCCTAATCTGTAGTTGTTTAGGGGAAAGATGAAGACAGCTTCTCCTTTGTGGCTCAGCCGTGGTGCATCCCTCACTCCCAGACAGTGGGCAATGCCCAACACCAGTTAATGACTAGAAGCGACGTCAGGAAAGTTATCAAGGGCAGGAGGGCTGATGCTCTGAGTCCCTTGGAAGAAAAGCGCTCTCACAGAGAACAGCACTGGGAGATAAAAAGCTCAATTACATTAGTACTGCATTAGTAACACCACCTTATATTTCTAGTGCCTCAGAGCTCACAGAGCACTTTCTCAAATGTTGTTTTATCGACCATGGGGCGGGGAGGGGGTGATTAATTAAGACTGGAGATGCTGCGCCATCAAAGAGCTTCCTTTGGCTCCAATGCTATCTTCCTAACACAGAAATAGCATCAGAAATGGACGCTTCTGCCCTGCACTCCCCTTAATGCATCCTGCCCCAGAGATAAATAAAGCAGGAGCAGCCCCCTTCCACTGGGTGTATACATGTGTTATTCCCGTCCTTCTGCAGCAACGTTTTCCACCTCTCTCCCCATATCCATCCCTCGAGTGCCCACTCACATGCTCTCTCTCCATGAGTCTCCTACTTCCTGTCAGAACCAGTCTCTGGCATTGTCCAAAATCTGTTTCTCTCTTGACATCTTCTACCTTGTATCACAGGTGTTTTGAAGTGCATATTCCCTTTTATTTGTAGTTAAGAGTGCTATTGAAATATCAAAGATGCAAAGATGGGCAAGGGGAGTCCTGACCCCCGAGGAGTCCCCACAGCAGAGTGCAAAACAGTCAAGTGCTGCCAGAAGGACACTGTGATGACAGCAGACAGCAGGGAGCCTTGCAGGCTAGGGCATTCTCATCAAACCTTGGCCTCTCCACTTCCCCTTTTATAAAATGGAGCTAAGTGCAGTGTCTGCCTCAGTATTGTTGGGATAACTAAGGCGATTATGCATGTAAAAACTTTTTAAAAGCCAACCAAGAAGGGCACCTGGGCAGCTCAGTCCGTTGAACGTCTGACTCTTGGTTTTGGCTCAGGTCATGATGCCAGGGTCATGGGATCCAGCCCCATGTCGGGCTCCATGCTGGGCATGGAGCCTGCTTAAGATTCTCTCTCTCTCCCTCTGCCCCTCTCCCCAGCTCTCTCTCTCTTAATTAAAAAAATAATTATAATTTATAAAAGTCAACCAAGAAACAGAGAAGGAGGAGGAGCCCAACAGCCAAAGAAGAGTGTCACTGAGGAAAGGCTGCCACCACTGAGTCCTGCCTGAGGGGACAGTGTTCCAGCAAGAAAGTATAACTTGTGGAAGCGCCTAAGCAGTGAATATCCACAACCTCTCACTTAGTTTGGGTCCACATTCCTACATCCCAGATAGCTGATGAACTTGAGAGGGAAAATAGGCCTCAACTCCAAGTCACCTTAAGTGCAGACATGGAGTCAAGGAAAACAGATCAAGCAGAAGTAGCCTCACTCTCTGAGTTGGGTTCAGCGCTTGCCCAGATGCCAGGAAAAGCCCAAGCTGGGCTCAGGGAGGGAAACCCACCTAGAAGGCGATCCACTTCTTGGGACTGGGTGTCTCTACCCACTCAGGGCCGCCCACCCACTTCCTACAACAGGACAGCCGTGAGGCAGATACAACTGCCAAGAGATGCTATGTGAGGGGGTCATGACCACAGGTCCTTTCCCTTCAAGTCTGTCTAAAAGGAGAAGAAATACCATGACTCAAAATCAGCTAAGTGGTTCAGCAATGTAGGTGACCTCTAGGGCAGAGGGACAGTCTTCATCAGGGGTTATGTAGCTATTGTTGCTAACAGGAAAAACTAACAATGCTTGAGCACCAGTACCAGACACCATACCATGCTTCAGGATAATGCTTCACACACATTATCTCACTTAAAGACTCACAACCCCACTAGCCAGAGGAGGACACTGCACAAAGAAGGCAAGTAACATGTCCAATTCACAGAGCCACCAATGGGAGTACTGGGACTCAACCCCAGTTTGGCCTTAACTGGATTAACTGGGCCAAAATTGGATTTTGGCTTTAATGTTAGAGAAGCCAATCACCCGCTGGTGAAAGAGGCAAGAATGTGAGCTCTGTGAGGCCAGGGATTTTGGTCTATCTTGTGCCTGGCATATAACAAGCACTCATTAAATATAGGTTAAATAAATGAATGATGCCAATTCAAATGATATCTTATTTTAAATAAGTATCAGAAACAAGCTTTTCTTTTACTTTATCTTCATGTTGGCACCATCAATTCTTCAGGGGACAGGTTAAGGTGACACATAGATGTGTACTAGAAAGGGCCAGGGCCTGAGACCTAGTCCTGCCACTGATCAGCTAGATAACCTTGAGCTTCTCACTCTGACTTATGGGCTCATTTCTTCACCTGAAAAATGAAACGGTTGGAGGAGATCCGGGTTTTCATAGCTAGTCATGGTCACTCTGGGGTCTGCTAAGAATACTAACTCCTGGGGCGCCTGGGTGGCTTAGTCGGTTAAGCGTCCAACTTTCGCTTAGGTCACGATCTAGCGGTTCGTGGGTTCGAGCCCCGCGTCGGGCTCTGTGCCGACTGCCAGCTCAGAGCCTGGAGCCTGTTTCAGTCTGTGACTCCCTCTCTTTCTGACCCTTCCCTGCTCATGCTGTCTCTCTCTCTCTCTCTCTCCTAGAAATAAATAAAACATTAAAAAAAAAAAAAAAGAATACTAACTCCTGAACCCTTCTCTAGATCAACAAAATCAGAAACATACATTTAAAAAAAATTGTTTTAATGGTAGTATTTGAGAGAGACAGAGCATGGGCATGAGCAGGGGAGGGGCAGAGAAAGAGACGGAGACAGAATCTGAAGCAGGTTCCAGGCTCTGAGCTGTCAGCACAGAGCCCAATGTGGGACTCGAACCCATGAGCCAAGAAATCATGACCTGATACAAAGTCAGATGCTTAACCCACTGAGTCACCCAGGCGCCCCCAGAAACCTATGGTTTTAACACAATATCCAGATAATTCTAAAGTGCAGCTGAACTAGATATTGCTTAAGTTCCTTACAGTGTTAAATGAATACGAGTCTAGGAGACGATAAATTTATCTACCTGTAGGGGTGCCTGGGTGGCTCAGTTGGTTAAGCATCTGGCTCTTGATTTCAAGTTAGGGCATGAGCTCATGGTTCATGAGTTCGAGTGACATGTAGGGCTTCTACTGAAACTGTGGAGCCTGCTTAGGATTCTCTTTCCCCCTCTCTTTGCCCCTCCCCCCTCCCTCTCTCTCAAAATAAGTAAGCTTTAAAAAAATACTTAAATAAAACAAAATAAAATCTTTCCTATAATAAAATTAAATGAAAACATGTCTGTAAGTACTACCTGAGACAAAATAACATCTATTCCCAAAAGGTCAAGTATTAATAATTATCATGGCCGGTCTCAACTGCCCTATCACTTCTGCTTTACCAAAACATAGCGACCACTCAGGGATTACAAGTACTAAGGCACCAGACACTTCTTTATTGACCATCTTACCCAGATCACAGGTCCATCTCCAGGTCTTGCTTGTTGTTTCCAGATAGGTATCTATAAAATACAATCAATTTCATAAGCCACAACTACAGTTAAACCACTACTGAATTCTTTAAAGCAATACATAAATTAAAAATAAAATATTTCCAAGCAACCGACAATCAAGGTAAAAGAATGAAGAAATCTAAATCCTTCCAAGTGTCCTTAACAATGAAAACGCAAAAAATTAATTATCTGATGTTCTTTGGAGAGCACAAAGAGACCTCAACTGGGAACCAGAAGGCCTGGCAGGTTCAAGTCTTGCTTTGCCCTCATTATTCATAGGACCTCCGTGGGTCTCTATTTCCTCATCTATAAAATGGAGACAGGTGTCTCAACCCAGCCTGCTTCACCGTATTTCCATTAGCATCAAACATGATAATGCTCACAAAAGTGCTTTATGGAGCGCCTGGCTGGCTCAGCCTGTAATGCATGTGACTCTTGATCTCAGGGTTGTGAGTACGAGCCCCCACCCACCCCCACTGGGAACAGGGATTACTTAAAAATCAGATCTTTAAAAAAAAAAAAAGTACTTTACAAAATATTAAAGAGCTCCCTTTATTTTTTAAGGGCTTGCCTTTTTAATACCTCATGTAAGTTTATCATTATTTTATTTAAACTTCAGAGACAAAGACATCCACTTCAAGCCTGACAGTATGTGGCTGTAGTCTCAGCAATGTTAAAATCTCTAACCTAATGTCGAAACGGACTCAATCTATGTAAATATACCACCATCTATTTCTTGACCTACAAATAAGGGACTAAACTTTTCTAATTCAACCATGCCCTGAAAGGAAAAAAATATCTCATTCAAAAATAAACTTTAGGGGCAACCGGGTGGCTCAGCTGGTTAAGCATCCAACTTTTGATTTCATGGTCATGAGCGCGAACCCCATGCTCAGCGCAGAACCTGCTTAAGATTCTGTCTCTCCTTCTGCCCCTCTCCCCAACTAGCACTGTCTCTCTCCAAAAACAAACTTAAAATGTTGCTGTATTGTATAAAGCAGATTTTAGGACAATGCTAACCCCATGCTATATTTAGTGTCTATTGTCATTCTAAATCTCTTGTTCTCTTTCTGCTGTCACTCACCAACTTACCATCTTCCTCTCGTTAGATATGAAGACAGCGTAGCACTCTTCTAAAGGATACTGGTCATGGTTTTTGATGTACTCACAGAGCTTCCAAATATTTTCTTCACTGAAATAAAATAACAGTTTGATCAATATAATTAAACAGTAATGCTCCATGTCTTTCAAATTTGAATAGAAGACTGATGAGGACATAAAACAGTTGGACAAGATTTTAAACACGATCTCATCCAACAAGAGGCTGATGTTTGAGCCTCCTCTAAAACATCCTCAACAAAGTGTTACTTAACTGTGTACAGGCTTCTCTCCTAACATGGTGCTCATGACCTGCCCTAGCAGTGCTTTGCACATAGAGGCCTTTCATCACTGATAAAATGCTACATCAATACTCCACAAGTTCTGGGTTCAGGGACTTGAGATACAAGTGGAATTTCAACTGTGCCATTTATGAGGTAAGAAGAAGCTTTGAACGTCTTGACCTGGGTATCTGCTTTTCTCAGCTGTAAAATGGGGGTGATCATATCACATTACAAACACTGGATAAATCTTAGTTAACACTGGTTCACTGCTCCCCTCAGGAATGGGGCAGGATGAGTGGTTTGGATAGGAGGGCTTCTGGCTGGAAAGGACCAGGGGCAGCTACGTGATATGCCTAGGAATTCCTTCAGAGGGAGACTCTGTGAGTGGGATTTCCTGCGGCCCTCTAGCACGAAACAGACCCTGATTTTTACAAAGTTCTTTCTTATACTGAACTGAACTCCATATTCCTATACTTCTGCCCCAGATGAATCTCTTTTCTACATGACAGACCTTTAGATATTTAAAGCAGTAGTCAGAACCACCTAAGTAAATCAACGCTCAGTGAATGAAACCAAGCCATACTGGCAGCCATGGGCACAGGCCCACACAAACAAAAACAGTCACTGTTGGCAGTATTCAGAGCTCAGCCTCTGGATTGCTATCTTTTCCTAACGAGCCACACAGCACCTTTGCTGAAAATGAGCTACATCAACACTCAGCTCATACTTGTGACTCAATCTGTCAAAGCCTAATTTCCAAACACCTACACCACGCCACCTGAAAAAGAAGTATGGCATGAATGGCACTGATGAATGCCACCATTTTATGGTAATACAAATTTTCAATTCACAGTTTTGACCTTGTCTATCTGTCTCAATGCTCAATACAACTGCACTTAAAGTACTAAAGCTGAGCATATGTGTATTTTTTCCCCATGACACTGTTTTTCTCTGCAATACCTAAGAAATCTCACAGAAAAAGTAGTGATGGAGGTAAAAACAGGAGATTGCCCCATACTACTTCCACAGGATATGTAGCATAGAGTAACAAAAAGCATACTGCTTCAAGATGACATAAAGCGTGTATTCGCTAAATTTTCTTTTCTTTTTTTTTTTTTTTAATTTATTTCTAGGAGAGAGAGAGAGAGAGACAGCATGAGCAGGGGAGGGTCAGAGAGAGAGGGAGACACAGACTCTGAAAAAGGCTCCAGGCTCTGAACCGGCAGTGAGCACAGGGCCCGACGCGGGGCTTGAACCCAGGAACCACGAGATCATGACCCGAGCGAAAGTCGGATGCTCAACTGACCAAGCCACCCAGGCGCCCCTATTAGCTAAATTTTCTTAAATCTGGCTGTCCTGAGACCAAGTTTTCAGAAGACATCTGTCTGTCCAGCCCACAGACATTCTGGAGTTGCTCACAAGCATCTTGAAGAGCCTGTGATGTAAAAGCACTGTGCTAAGTGCTTGGAGGATATAATGATAAATGAGAGCTCACAGACAGTGAGAGGAGACATACAGATCCATAAATAAGCAAGCATCATAGAAGGCCATAAAAGATGCATAGAAGAGGGAGTCATTAATTCCGAGCGACACAGGAAGATGGAGGAGGTATATAGGTCAGTGGTTTCTCCTTGTTTGTTCCCAGTCCCAAGGATGGGCAAAGAATTACCACAAAGACTTCGAGAATCCATTTATACCACAAGAACTGTTAGCAGGCTGAATACATATAGCAGGCTGCACATACTTTATTATTTTCCAAATATGTGTGAATGTTACACAGAGGGAAAAAAAATGTAAGAGTTACTGAACCTATAGTCCCTTTTTATCATCAATTTTTTTTTTCAAAAGTACAATTAATATCATGAAGGAGGATCTCAAGAGACATCTGATGTTTGAAAAAGGAGGGCCTTGGGGAACCTGGGTGGCTCAGTTGGTTAAGTGTCTGACTTTGGCTCAGGTCATGATCTCACAGTTCATGAGTTCGAGCCCTGCACGGGGCTCTGTGCTGACAGCTCGGAGCCTAGAGCCGATTCTGTGTCTCCCTCTCTCTCTGCCCCTCCCCTGCTCATGCTGTCTCTCTTTTTCTCTCAAAAAATATATAATAAAACATTTAAAAACATAAAAATAAAATAAAATAAAAAAGGAGGGCCTTATACTTGGAAATGCTGGGAGCTGCTGTTGGAACAGGAAGAGCCCCAGATTGGGTGTGATCACTAGCACCCATTTAACTGGTTTTAAAAAAGGGCAGAGGGGGTTATGGTGACAATAATGTTCCGACCTACTGGATGATAATTTTCGTAGCAGAAAGGCTAACAAAGCAGCATTAAAAGAAGATTCTGTGGGGTGCCTGGGTGGCTCAGTTGGTTGAGCACCGACTTCGGCTCAGGTCACAATCTTGCGGTTCATGGGTTCGAGCCCCGCATCGGGCTCTGTGCTGACAGCTCAGAGCCTGGAGACTTCTTCGGATTCTGTGTCTCCCTCTCTCTCTCTGACCCTCCCCTGCTCATGCTCTCTCTCTCTCTCTCAGAAATAAATAAATAAAATAAATAAATAAGATTCTGCAAGGGTTACCAGCAATGGGCTGACATCAGTGAAGGAGGCAGAAGGAAAGGAGCCCTGGGGCACAGGAGGCGATGAAGAATACAACAGAATCAGATGTGCTCCGTAAGCCACCTAGTGCCACACAAATATTGGTTACCACTATCAGCATCAAGCTGAGCCTCAGCAGATCAGTAACAACTGACAGAAGCTAACAGAAGCAGAGAGGAGGCATTGATTTCAAGTTATAAGAACCTGCCACAAACACAGTAAGGTGCACCTACCTGATAGATTTTGACAGGGTAGAACACTGGTTCTCAACCAGCGGCGATTTTGCTCCCCAGGGAACATCTGGCACTATTTGGAGACATTTTTGGTTGTCACAAATTGCGGGAGGGTGCTACAGGCATCTAGTGGGTGGAGGCCAGGGATGCTGCTACATATCCTACAATACACAGGACAGCCCCCTCACAACATTAGCACACTCAAAATGTCAACAAAGCCACGGCGGACAGGTTCAAAATGAGTTTGGAGAAACATATGGTGACCAGATCTTAAAGGACTTGCTGTGCTCAGGAGACAAGCTTAATTGTCTATGCCTGTATTCCTCGAAATGGGATCAATGAACCGGCATAAGACTCCACCACTGTACAGTTCACACATCCAGACTCACTAGAGTGGGACCCTAAGATGTACATGCTTTACAAGCTCCTAGGTGATTCTAGGACTCATCTGAATTTACAAAGGCTTTCAGCAGTGTGAAGCCCGCTAAAGTTCAGGACCTGAGAAGGGGATATGAGAGATCTGGGCAGAGGCCTATAAAGAAAGACGGCCCCTGACAGCCAGTGGGGGCCCAACCCATGGCTGAAGGAACTTAAAGGAGAAATCTACTGAGGAGACGTCCACCCCCTTCCATTCTTCCACCAAATGGCTCCACTCCCGTTGTGCCCGCCATCTTGTTCCTAGAATACTCCAGCACACTTTGTTCCCAGAGCCTTTGCACGAACCACTCCCCTGCCTGCCATGATTTTCTTCCAAATCCACAAAGCCCCAACCCCTTTTTCTTCAGATCTCTGCTCAAATGCCACTTGATCAACAATGCCTTCTTTAAATATCCATCATGAAATAGTGAGTAACCGTCCCTTACCTAGCTTTGTTTTTCTCATAGCACTTAACACCACCCAAATATGGTTTACTTGGCTTTGCCTCCTTTCCCTGAACCAAAACAGAAGAACCATGAGATACTCCCAAGGAATTTGTCTACTCTGTTCACTGTTGTATTCCAAAGACCTAAATGGTGCCTCACACGGTCCAAGTGCCTAACAAACATTTACTGACTAAGTAAATAAAACAGTGAATGGGAGTTAGGGACAAGAACAGTATTTAGTTGAGAGGTAAGGCAGAAACAAAGTGCAGTAGTTAAGAAGAATGGACCCCTGGGGGCGCCTGGGTGGCTCAGCTGGATAAGCGTCTGACTTCACCTCAGGTCATGAGATCACCGTTCGTGGGTTCCGGCCCTGCACTGGGCTCTGTGCTAACAGCTTCAAGCCTGCTTCATATTCTCCATCTCCCTCTCTCTCTCTCTGACCCTGCCTTGAGCGTATTCTCTCTCAACAATAAACATTATATATATAAATTATACTTAAATTTATATATATAAGAAGCATGGACTCCTACATTACAGAAATTCTAGTTTCAGCATTGCCTCTTGCTAGATGTGAGCCTCTCGGTGGCTCAGTCTTTTCATTAGTAAAATGAGGTCAACGATAAAACCTATCTCCTAGCCATGGATGGAAACACTTAGCACTGGCCCTGACATGCAATCAGAGTTGAATGAATGCTAAACTCTTGGTGACAGTGGTTTGATGACCAGCTAAAGGAGGGAAAGGTAGTTTTAGATGGCACTAAGGTTTCTTTTGCAGAGACTGAAAGTTGGGGAAGAAGTCATTACTCAGGGACGGTCAAGACAGGTGTGGGAGTGGAAAAGACAAAGGTAGGAGTGGTGATTCAGCCACACAGGTGGGGTATAGTGTGTGGCCTCCAGAACCAAACCCTGCAGGTAAAGCCCCATTCCTTCACTCACAAGATATGTGGCCTTAGACAAATTAGTTGCACTCCTCTGTGCCTCAGTGTTCTCATCTTTATTTTATTTTATTTTTAATTTTTTTTAATGTTTTTTATTTCTAGGAGAGAGAGAGAGAGAGCGTGAGCAGGGGAGGGTCAGAGAGAGAGGGAGTCACAGACTCTGAAACAGGCTCCAGGCTCTGAGCTGGCAATCAGCACAGAACCAGACGCAGGGCTAGAACCCACAAACCAAGAGATCATGACCTAAGCGAAAGTCGGACGCTTAACCGACTAAGCCACCCAGGCACCCCCTCAGTGTTCTCATCTTTAAAATGGGGTAACAATAGTACCTACTTCCTAGGGTAATTGTGGGACTCAAATGAATTAGTTTACATAAACAATCAACACAATGTTTTGGCACATAGCAAATACTATGTAAATATAACTGGTGTGATAACAACATGGTGGTTAAGCTCATGGTTTCTGGTCACAAGAAGGCCTGAACTGGATTCTTGGCTGCTATTAGCCTTGAGAAAGTTACTGCAAAATCGACGTTCTTCCATTCTCTTCCAAAATTAAAATGACCTTCCCGACAGTGTGAAACCACAAAGGCTTCAGCAGAGTAATTTGCAGATGCTCTGCGCTCCACCCTCTGCCCCCACCTTCCCTTCCTGGCTCCCAAGCCTAGAGATCTGCGGAGAAATGTCCAGGTGAAAAGCGCCAGGCATCAATAATGCACTACCGACCCTACCCTTCCTGAGTATTCCGCCCACCCCACCCCCACCGTCCAAAAGTCTACGCTCCACTCAAGAGACGAGGGCTGCCATTCCCGCTCCCTCATCCCCCAAGCCAGAAAACCCGCCAGTCAAGGCCCAGAGCCCCCGGGGAGGGGCCGGGAAGAGGCGGGGCCTGGCTGCGACGCCGAGACCAAGAGAGCCAGGGAGATGCCGGGGGGCTGCACCCGCGCCCCCTCACCAGTAGCAGCTGTTGTAGACACAGGCGTCCCGCGGGGGGCTGGCCGGCTGGTAGCGGGCGGCTGCAGCGGCGGGGACATCCCCCTCCATGGCGGGCTGGCTTAGGCCAAGGCCTAAGGCGGACCGACAGGACCAGCCCCGCGTGCAGGACTCGGAGGAGGAGCCGGGGCACACCGGGCAGCTCCGATTCTCGGGGCGGAGCCCGGGGCAGCTGCTGCAGTTCCCGGGTGGTGGAGCCAGGGTCGGGTAGGCGGAGTCTGGGCGGAGCGAGCGACGCAGGTTCCGGGCGCGCTGTGCTGGGGGCGGGGGGCGGTGCAAGTTCCGGGTGGAGAGAGCCGGCGGCCGCGCGGGTTTTGCGGATACCGGTAGGCGGAGCCCGGGCGGGAAGAGCCGCGCTGGTTCCGGGAGGGTGGAGCTAGACGGCAGTGGGAGGATCCTAGGGGGATGGTGAGCGGCGTGGATTTCCAGTGGGCGGAGCCCGGGACCTGGAGGATTGTGTGATTCCGGGTAGGCGGGTCGCGGGCAAGTGGGCGGAGCAAGGGCGGGGCGGTGCTGGGGGAGCCGGGCGGGCTCCGGAGGGCTGTAAGCCCGAGGATCCGGTCAGCAGGGAGAACAGAGGTCGCCTGCGGGTGTCCTGCCCGGGTGCGGAGAGGGCGTGGAGTGTGCAAACCGCCCGATCCTGAACTCTGTTTCAACAGTCTCGCGGAGGCGTGTGAAACTTTCCTCCAGCCCAGGGTTGAGGTTGCCGGCCGTGGAGGAACCAGAAGAGATGCAGAAGGCCAAGCGAAATAAGAGAACCGTGTATGTGAAAAACGAACCTTTAGCAGTTTTATCCTAGAAGCCGCGGGAGCCCGGGGAAGGAGGGGGAGTTATTTCCAAACACGTCCGCATCGGAAGTTTTTAGAGAGGAACAGCACCCCCAAATCTCGCCGTATTGTGACATTTGATTTTAATAGAACTGTGTGTATTGACTCAGAAAGATATATTGATCCCTTGATAGAATAAGTTTTTAAAGTTTAAAAAGAGTTCACACGGCATTCATTTTGTGTAAATCATGTATTTGCTGGCAATCTGGAAGGAAAGGCAGCACATTAAGACAGTGTTAATCTCTGATGAATGAGTAGTATGGGCTTTCACTTTATACTTAATAGCCTTCTGAATTGTCTTATACTTGTAATCAAAATATGTAACTGATCAGGATACTTGCCATTATGAAAACTGAAATTCTTAGTTGGTTTATAGGCCATGTGCAGTCAGATTTTTCCAGTCTCGTGAGTTCAAAATCCCATACATAAATACTAAAGACTGAGCATAAGCCCTTGGGCAGCTACCAATTTCTTGCCTCTCTGCTCTAAGTACACACTTCAGTATAAGCTCTATTATAAATAACAGAATTCCTTTAGGCATTTCTCCTTTAAAGCGGGCACCAAGTTAAGCCTTCTCAGTAAAATGTGCTGGAGGAAGAAGCTTTCTGCAGTTTCTGGGAGGCTGTAAGAGCGTGTGGAGTGTGGTCCTGAGAACATCCAGTGGAGTCTGCCCCAGCCTTGGGCTCAGAGCCAGTCCCTCTGTGACCTTACAGTTTCAGTTTGGCAATAACCTTCCTGCAGCCCTCTTGACACAGAAACCAGACCCCTGTGAGGCCTGCAGGCAGCCACTTGCTCATACTTATTAGGGAAGCCCTTTATGGCCTATGCACAGTTACCTGCAGCTACCATGGTCACATGCTGAGCAATCATTCCTTCACCAAGCCTCCCTTTCTTCCCCCAATCTCTCCATTCCCCCTAGGCACTCTGAGAGCCTTCTAAGCCAGCTGACTCTCAGATTCCTAAGGTGTCCCTACACCACTGGTTGGTAATTGTTACCCTCTACTCCTTCTCTACTTAAGGGAGGTTGAATTTCAAGAATTAACTAAGATAAAAATGAAACCAAAAGATATAAGGAAACTATATGGTACCTAGGGCTGAGGACAAGTACTCGAGAAAGACAAATTTGAAAGGGGTTTGCACCTGGTTGGAGAAGGCATGGGTTGCCTATCAGCAGAGAAGTTCTCTGGTTTACCCAGGCTGGAGGTGGTCTGGAGTTGCTGGGCAAACAACAGAGAAGGGGGTAGTGGAGAGCCAGGAATCTCTGCCATAATGTGCTTTCTTTATGCTTCAAACATTCTCCTATAAGTAGGAACTTTTTTATTAAAAATATAGATCTTTTTTAAATTCATGTGATTTCATAGTAGAGACTATAAAAAGCAATATGGTTTCAGAGGAATAAGGTTCTAATGCTTAGAACCAAATTCTGATCTGTAAAGTCCAATGATCTAGATGAGGAAGAAATAAGACTGCACTCAGAGAACCCAAAACTCAATGAAATAAGGGTGTCAAAGGGCTGGGGTTTACAGAAAAGGACACAGAACAAAGGAAAGTATAAGAGAGCCACAGATGTGAAAGGGGAGATCAAGAAGTAGGCAGCACATGATACACTGAGGTTTAACCACCAAAGGGTGTTTTTTAATTGGGGGAGGAGGTATTTTTAATCCTCAATATTAAGAGTTAGAAGAAAAGAAAAAGAAAGATAATACCATCACTTGGGACCTTGTGATATGTGATAAGGGAACATGTAAGTGAAAGAAAACTAAGTCTACTTTGATTGTGTTTCCTCTCTTCTCTGTCAAAGAAAATGATCCTCGGGCTGTGAAGAATAAGGTAAACAGCAATAAGAGGAAATTAAAGCCAAGATGGGTATAGTGGTGGAAAGCACCAATTTGCCTTACAAGGGTTAAAAATCTTCAGACCCAGATGAGCTATATCCCAGCATACTGAAATCACTCTAGAGTATGATCCCAAAGCCTTTATTATGGAACTTGGAGAAAATATGTTGGAGGAGAGGACATAAGACTAAATATGAATACTTGTCTTAAGTTTCATAAAAAGGAAAAATATGTATTCCAGACTCTACACTTTGTGAACTTGATACCTATTCCCAGAATGAATTGTGACCATGAAGAAGAGGTGATTATTTAGGGGCCTTTAGTGGTTTACCAAGCCCATTTCATGTCATTGAAAGAATTAATTGGTCATTAGAACAGACTTATAGCACCAACCATATAATTTGATTCCAACCAAGCAGCTGGCCCAGTATCAGTCATGGCTCATTCAGTAAGAAGTCAAGGCAGAAAGGCTGTTTATTAGCTTGTTTAACAGGAAGGACCATGAGTGGCTCTCAGAGTCGAAAGAGGAGCTGCAGAAACCTAGGTCTCAAGGGGCCAGAAGCAGAATCCACTTCCCCAAGCCTTCTTTCCTCACAGCCTGCTTCTCAGTGCTTGGCTCCATCCTGAGATGACTTCACTTCCTGCTGTGGGAAGGATGGCCGCTGGCAGCCCCATATTCGCATTTTCCAGGCTTGGCAACCCCAGTAGAAAGAGAAAACTCCGTTTTCCTCATAGCAATCACACAGAGCAACTTGTACCTCTATTTTTTACACTTCTGTGCTGCTTCACTGTTTTTACATGTGCAGTTGACCCTTAAACAACACAAATTTGAACTGTGTGGGTCCACTTCTACACAGAGCTTTTACAGTACAGCAGATGTATTTTCTCTTACGGTTTTTCTTAATTAACATTTTCTTTTCTCTTACTTTATCATAAGAATATAGCATATAATACCTGTAACATACAAAATAAGTGTTAATCGACTATTTATGCTATCAGTAAGTCTTCTGGTCAATAGAAGGCAATTAGTAGTTATGTTTTGAGGGAGTCTAAAGTTATATGCAGATTTTTTACTGCACCCAGGTTGGCGTCCCTAAGCCCCATCTTGTCCAACTGTCTTACTTTGTAATAACAAATATTTTTAATAGAGTCTTGGGGTGCCTGGGTGGCTCTGTCAGCTGAGTGACTGACTCATGATTTTGGCTCAGGTCATGATCCCAGTGTCATGGGATCGAAGCCTATGTTGGGCTCCACATTGAGCATGGAGCCTGCTTAAGATTCTCTCCCTCTGCCCTTCCTTCCACTTTCTCGCTCTAAAAAATTTAAGAAAATACAGTCTTAAAAATCAAATTTATCAACCCAAAGAGCTGCATTGACAGACTATGGCTCACTCAACTTTCCCCCTACTTTTGTATATTTAGTGTTTAGATCCTACTGTTAAATAAAGCTGCAATTAACATTTTTTTAAAAATGTTTTACTTATTCTAAGAGAGAGAGAGAGACAGCATGAGCAGGGGAGGGTCAGAGAGAGAGGGAGACACAATCTGAAGGAGGCTCCAGGCTCTGAGCTGTCAGCATAGAGCCCGACACGGGGCTCGAACCCATGAACAGTGAGATCATGACCTGAGCCGAAGTTGGACACTCAACCGACTGAGCCACCCAGGCACCCCTGCAGTTAACATTTTTGTATATAAATCTTGGTCCATGCCTCTGATAATTAACATTAGGATGGAGCCCTAGAGGGTGTATTCCTGGGCCAATGGCTTTAAATATTTTCCAGGTCTCTTGATACATGTTGCTATATTGCTTTTATTTTTTTCAATGTTTATTTATTTTGAGAGAGAGAGAATGCACACCCACATCCACGAGCCAGGAGGGGCAGAGCAAGAAGGAGAGAGAGAATCCCAAGCAGGCTCCCTGCTGTCAGTGCAGAGCCTGATGCAAGGCTCAATCTCACAAACTGTGAGGTCATCACCTGAGCCTAAATCAAGAGATGAAGCGCCAGGGTGGCTTGGCTGAGTCAGATCATCATTTCACGTTTCATAGGTTCAAGCCCCATGTCGGGCTCTATGCTGGCAGTCTGCTTGGGATTCTTTCCCTCTCTCCCTCTGCCCTTACCCCACTTGTGCTCTCTCAAAATAAATTAAAATAACTTAAAAACAAAAGGAGAGTTGGACGCTTAACTGACTAAGGCACCCAGTTATCCCTGTGTTGCTATTATGCTTTTAAGAAGTGGGCCTGGGGTGCCTGGGTGGCTTAGTTGGTTGAGCACCTGACTTCAGCTCAGGTCCTAATCTAACAGTTTTTGAGTTGGAGCCCTGTGTTGGGCTTTGTGCTGACAGCTTGGAGTCTGGAGCCTGCTTCAGCTTCTATGTCTCCCTCTCTCTCTCTGCCCCTCCCTACTCACACTCTCTCTTTCTCTCAAAACTAAATAAAACATTTTAAAAAATTTTTATTAAATAAAAAATGAAATAAGCCTATACTTCAATATCACATTATTTTTTTTTTTTACATTGAGTATTGTTATTTAAAAAACAAAAAACAGG